GACAGCAGGTGTTCGCAGGGAGGGCAATGAGAGGCATAGATCGACTGGGGTTGATCTATTGGCTTAACCCATTCACAAACAGGTATGAGCTCTACCTTAACCCTGCAAGATTTCATCGACAACGACGCATTCACCCCCAATCGCCAATCGGAGTGTTCGGGGAATCAGGAGAGCTTAGCACTAGTTCGGGGCTTAAATTGATCCCGTTGAGTTATCGAATTAATTAGAGATGCCCACGAATAAGCAATCGCAAAGCTTATTACATTGCCCTCGAGCGCAAAAGACGACCAGGCAGACGGACTGCTGTCACGTCACCTATTATGACCGTACGCGTAGATTACAGAGGGACGTTTCTTATGAAAAGTGAGTTCTCGCATCTTAATAATGAGTTCTGACCAACAACTAACCCGCATTTAATTAGCTACTTCCCTTATCAAAAAATACCACCCCTTCATGACATGAGGTACCATACAACAGTGTCCAACGACGAGTTGAGTCTATAATTATATCTAAGTAAACCAATGCGAATAAATTCCTAACAGTTTAGTATGTGTTATTCTTCGAGTAGGGTAACATTTCATACAAGCGGCCATAGGACTAAACTGAATAGTTTTTGAATTGGGTTTTTAAGCGTTTTTGGAAAATATATTCCTTTGATACACTAAGAATTATAACCCCCATAATAGTATATTGTTGCGTAGGCAGTGGTACCAGCGAAATTTATTAAAAAGGACGAACTTTTAAAACGGAAGAGAATTTTATTTTTAGCTGTGAATTGTAGGTACTATCGAAGAAACAAACATTCTTGATCTACAATAAAAATTACAACCCCCACAATTGCGGATTGCCTTGTAGGTAAGAGCGAATATTCTTTGAAATTAGGAAAAAGGATTTTATCGTGAGGTGACAATGGTAAAGTTGCTTGTAAGTATGTTTAATACAGGACATTTGTGCTCAAACGGGCATCTAGCGGGAAAGTTGTGGGGTAGTTTTGATTTCTTTGATTCTATATGTTTTTTGGGGTGCTGAATCCGAATCTGAGGTTTGCCAACAAAATTTCATGACGCAACATTGAAAAAAATACAAAAGAAATTGAAAAAGATATTTTTTGGCAGTTTTGTGCTTACAACTTGAAAACTATCAACTTTTCGAAAATAACCTTCCTATTCAAAATGAAAGTACATAAAATTTCCTACAGACCCCACTATTTAGTTTTTTTCCTCGATGAACCGTTCGGGCTCGAGCGCCAGTTGAAAATTGGCGTATTTCGGCTGTATCCGCAAATACTCATCTTTTATTATTGTTTTATTATTATTCTGTGCCAATATAAATCCGTACTTTTCATTGTCTACCGGTCTCCTCAAAAGATTTTATAACAGTTCCGTCTGGTATAAAACTCTCCCACTCCTTCACAGATGAGCCAAGACCCATTACGTCACCGTGTAACTGCGTTTGCAGTCTCGAGACCCTCCTCCCATACACATACATACACACCCTCACAAAGTTACACAGATGGACGGACGGACAGTCCAAAATCATGAACTCGCTTTTTGTCGCTGGTTAAAATGTAAACAAAAAAGAAATAAATCGGGTTCAGTTGATAGCAGAAAAATTTAAGCTTGGGTAACTGCGTTATCCCACTCCGAGGAGTAGGTACGTGATTCTTCAGAACACCGGAGCAAGAGGGATAATGCCGTTGAATAGGAAATCAATTTATCCCTTTTGCCATTTGAATTTTTTTAATTAATAATGACCACAGCGCCACTTTCCCAAGTTCAACAATAATTATCCAAACATGTACGGTAGGGTTTCGTGATTTCTTTATCTGGTTCGGAAGAGAGTGGGAATAATTTTAGAGAGCACAGTATAAGTATTATATATTATAAATAATATAATAATATGATATACTGTTGTTCGTTAGAAATTAACTTTTCATACAATTCTGGACTACAATAAACACCTTGAACGTTATGAAAATGAGAAAAAACCACCCTTACATATAAAATTCAAATAATAGTTGGTAAATGCAAGGAATTCACTTATTGACAACGCTTAATATTAATTTAGGGTTTTAGTGCGAAAAAACTATGTTTTGTGGAGACAGGCGAAATACGCCAATTTTCAACTGGCGCTTGAGCCCGAACGGTTTATCGAGGAAAAAAAGTTGTAAGCGCAAAACTGCCAAAAAAATATCTTTTTCAACTTCTTTTGTATTTTTTTCAATGTTGCGTCATGAAATTTTGTTGGCAAACCTCAGATTCGGATTGAGTACCCCAAAAAACATTTAGGATCAAAGAAATCAAAACTACCCCACAACTTTCCTGGTAAAAATACAATTTAACTGGATTATGTTATACATAATCTACCAAAGAATCAAAAAAATGTAATGTTTAATGTACCACAAAAATCACAATTCCCTTCAAAATTACGAAATTTTAAAACGGACATGGATTTTATCTTTAGGGACCAATTGTAGGATTGTAGATTTTATCTTCAGGGTTGTTTGTAAGGCATTTAAACATAATCCAACAAACATAAAAATTTTTAATGTATAACTAAAATTACAGCCCTTGAGTGTTTCTATATAGGTAAGAGCAAATTCTCTTAGAAATTAGGAAATTTAAACCAAAAGGGATTTTATTTTTAGGTGAAATTTGCCGAACCTTTACGAATTTTAAAATTCTTAAAAATTACAAAATAGTCTGGGTAACTTGTAGAATACCCAAACTATAACGCACAATTAGACGAGAAATCACGTATGTAATACCATTCAAATCAAGGCGTAAAACCATATTTGAAACAGATTCAACTTTGGGATAAAGTGATCGGCAATCCAAACAACGAATTGAAAACAAGCAGTACCTTCACCAATTAATTAACTTAACAAGTAATGAAGGATCTATATGCATACGTGCCAACATGCACGATAGCGCATTTTACGCGTACAGTCCTCAACTTAGAACAACAAGAATTTAAGATTTATCACGTGATTCGTGTTAAATATTATGCCTCTTCAGATATATAGATGTGTTGTCTTCACCACCGCCGCCACTACCCCCAAAAAAGTACGCTAAGACTAGTTACTTCTTTAAAATGTAATCTACACATTATCAAAATAACCAATGCTCATTCAATCTTTTTAGGAGATCGTCGTGCAAAATAATGTATAATGCAGTACCTATACGCAGCAGTTTTTCCTTACGCGTCTTTGCATGAAACTTCTGCGCGCTCACTTCACATGCCGACTCAATCTTCAAATGCAAAATCAATTTTGTTGAGGGTGGAAAGCATAGACATGTTAATTTTAATACAACTGCCCCAAAAATTTACTATAAGGTTGGCCGTAAAATTTGATGGCATACTCGAGGCTGCGCGCAGACAACATTGGAAAGTATGGTTGAAATGCAAAGACAAATGAAATAAACTAATAAAAAGTTAAAGACATCGAAAAACACATAACATCGATTTTTTATATGTATGTTCCGTTATTTATAACTTCGTTTTGAAAGCTTTTTGCATCACTTCTTATTTATGCTTCATTCAGTTTGTGCCTTCGAATGAGTTTATAGTGTTCGCAGTGGTACAATAAAAGTTTGGATCAGCAAAGCAATCTCGAAGTAGCCCAGTGTAAATATTTTGATATGATAAAATGAAGCTTTATTAGAATTTTATTTGTCTGCCGAAATAGGAACTTCGCGCTAAAACAGAAACTATATTTATTAACTTTGTTGCAAATAACGTACCTACAGTTTCTGTCAAATTTAAGCTAGTATATTCTATGCAAAGCTGTTTTGGTGTGAATAGTCACGACTGTTGTTTATATAAATTTCCGATTACAGGGAGTAATTCAACTGTAGCGCCATTTTCGTATATGATAATTCAAAATAGTCGGCAGGACTAATAACTGTTAACAAAATTATGTACTAATCGCGTTTATAGCGATCGATTGTCTGAATATGGGATTACACAATAATAATACGACGATTTGTCGGAATTATGCTTAGTGTGAAATTGAATCACTTAATCCAGACAATTTCTTATAAAGGTTCATGTTTTATCTGGGATTTATTGTTGATTTCAGCCGAGACTGTTCTGTCACCCTCATTAGAATGTGCGTGAAAGATATTCAAAGGACAGATAACTTTAAAGCAGTAAAAATTCCCGTTTTTTAGTAGACACACAAAATCATGGCAAATGATCAAAAACTCACGATGGAGCTTTTAGGGTGTCGAGTACACCTTATATTAGGTTCTTATCCAGTTATTAGTTATGCAATCAATGTCAGCGCACGGATAAACTGAAGGTTAATATTTTTAGGTGTTTGAAAGCAGTATGAACACAAAATTAGTGTACAAAAGGGAGGAAAACTAATAAAGTTAACATTAACAGGCTATACAGATCCAAACTGGGCAAGGGATATGCTTCACAGAAAATCAGATACTTACTTAAAATATTTGCGAAACAAGAAAACGAAATTCCAATAAATATAGAAATTATTTGTCTGTTTCCAGGGCAAAAGTTTGAGATGGACAAAAACTCGTTTTATACTGTGTAATGAATCGATTATGCCTTCAATTTAAAAGGTTTTAATAAATATAACTTTCGAAATTATGTTCAACATTTAAAAACCGCAAATGCGTTTTTCATGGTTTACGACATTTGGCCGAGATTTGATTGATTTATGCAACGAATGAATATTTTTGTATTTCTCGATAGCATAATTGCGGTAAAATATTATGTGACACTAGGGGTTGAATAATCTAACAAATAACCTAACAAATTTAATGAGCCACGAAATTTGAGCCATACTATGGCCAAACAACTAATTTAAACGGAATATGGCTATAATGGAACGTTCACAACCGACACACCGATCACAATCACTCAAATATACTAGTAATAGTAAGAGCTAGTCAAAGTTAAAGTAATTTCTAGCTCTTATTGCAAGGAATCTTCCATAGAAAAATTAGGCTAACATTTCAGTTTTGAGTTATACTTACAATAGCATGTGATAGAGAATTGCTTGGAATCCTCTTGGTCGCTCCAAGAAATTATAAATGCGGCTTTGTAACCGACGATAACGTGCGTCGCGCCGGGAGGCCCGGTAATTGAGCGGCTTCCCCAAAAGACTCATCCGGGGCTGAACTAGTCGGCTACGTTTCTGCCGTAGCAAGGTTAGACTACTGAAAAAGAATAACAGCATTAGCAAACCAGGCAGAGAGGCCCTAGGTGTAATTTAAAGAAGTGTTCATGAATAATAGTTGCTTATAGTAGCATGACATGCAAGTACAAAACGATGGAGCTCTGAACGCAGCTGGAAATGATAACACTGTATAACAAGACCGGAGCCCCAAACTTTTAAACATAAAACTGCATCCAACTTAATTTTTGAAATTTTTATCCTTATAAACGTAGAAGTAGAATGGCGCCTAGCACTTTACAATGCCACTTTTGATACGCTGCTAATATGGATAATGCGTCAATTTGCTGGTACATAGTTTCGCTTCTTAGTGTGGAAAACGCTGGAAATGGTATAACCCAATCGGTACGAAGACCAACTTGCTAAGGATTATCGTCCGCACACAAGCAACTAATGACAGTAATCATTCAATTCGTCGACGAAATAAATGTATAGTTTCCTTAGTCAACAATTTAAAAAACAAACTTTTATCGTTGAGGATGTAAGCAATACTTTTTTTATTATTACTAATAGGAAACCTATGAGAATTTCACTGTTGGAACTGAAAAATAGATAGGTACATTTCTTTGGTGAAACAAGGTTGAAGTTCCGAGTTTCGGTAATAAGTTTTGTAATAAGAATAAAATAAATATGGCGCTTTTTAGAACTTCATATGAAAAATTGGTGACCGTTTTTTGTGTAAAAATACCTAATAGCTCCTAAAGAATCGACTTTTTATGAGAAGTCACCGTTTTATGCTTGCAAAAAGTTGTACAATGCATTGCCTTTTAAAATTAAAAGTATCAATAATTTCAACTCGTTCAAAAATATAGTTAAGAAATATTTACATAAGCAAGCCATCTATTCACTAAATAAATTCTATGAATTCCATGTAACGACGTACGTAAAATTCTGTGAAGGAAACTTAGCCGTGTGTACTATGTTCTGTTTGTGTATTCTTGTAATTTACTCTTGACTTGCATTATCATATACCTTATATGTCAAGATGCTAATAAATCACTTTTATACTTTATACTTTTAATCCTAAAAGTTCTACGTTCCGTGAAAAGCACTAAATTTGTTTGCAATAAAACAAGGTTTGTCATCTAACCTTAAAACATAATAATGATTATGAAATTCAATATTTCATGCGTGTTCTTAGCCATTTCTATAAGAAAATAATCTTCCAGAACAATTTTTCAGTGAAATTTTGTGGTTCTATGTAGTCGATCTAAAATGTTTATTAAATAGACCACAGTTAATATTGAGTTTGTATTTCAGATCTCATTAGGCGATATCTTTTACACTGACTTTAATGGGAACTAGTTTAATGAATGTTGAAAAGTTCACATGAGCATCGTATTAAATGGTGTACAAGGAGAATAACTAATAACGATATTGGTATTCCTACGTAAACCTAAATCGGAGATCTAAACTTAGTGAATTACTTATATGCTCCTGACCTACTTCTTGATTTTGTATTAGGTATATTACCCACCGGTCATACACTTCTACACACGATCGCGTACTACTACAGCCTCGACTAGAGCTGATTCACTTTCCCAATTACAAAAATGAGAAAGTGTTGATAAGCGTACAAAATTGTAATTCTATACAGGATGTGCGTTCCAGCGCTGGTGAAAAATGCCTTTATTGTAGTATACCTTGTAGTTAATAGCTGAAAGCTCAATGCCCATTAAGGGCCCCAACAAAATTCCTGGCAAGCTCAATTTTTCAAGGTTGAATAATATTATGGTCTTTAGCTCAAAACCTCATTTGTGCCAAAAATGTACCTTGTGCGTCAGGCACACCTCTCCGCCACTAATCAAACGTTTCAAAGGAGTTTTAATGCGTATTTATTATAATAAGCAATTCTAGAAACTAATTAGTCAGTCAAAATTTGCATAACTCATTAATTATGCATACCCTACATTTTTCTTTTTTTAATCATTTTTTTGGGCAAAAACTTGATTTGGAAATGACATTTTTCATCATAGAACATAATATATTGAATTATATAATATAATAACCAATATAATAACCAATTTTCAGTTTTTGACTTTTATAGTAATTAATTTCAAACCGTACAAAATGGGCGTTATTTGTAAGAGTTACATTGCGATATTCTACCTTAAGAAATTCGGACTAAAACCTTTGATCATACGAAGAGGATAACGAGAAAATTAATATAATGCATACATTACTTATAAGTTATCGATATTATTTAAGTGCGTAATAAAATTGAACTACCAGCCGTATGCTGCAGATTTAGATAGATGAGAAAATCGTTCTAATTATATTACAATGTGATACACAGACCAGCATGAGCAGACTTAATGTTTTTCGATAACTGACTATTTTAAGAACACACCGGGTGGGAAGTAAAATCAATTTCGTACTGATTCAGATACGCGATGAGTACTTAGTCTAAGTTTTTGTTTACCAGACACTTACCAAATTTGAGTGAGAGGATAATCAAGTTAAGAGGTGCTTGAAAAGTTCCGGCTACTTACTTTATACGTCCGAGAACATCGACGAATTTATTAAGAACTGCTCTTTTTGTGTATGTGATGGAATATTGTTGTTTTTTATATTTAAACTTTAAAGACTGTTATAATTTTTCCCATTGTATGTAGATGTAATATTCTACTAAAAACAAAACAATAATGAGATCAGTGTATAAATTCCCCAATTTTTTTTTACTCCTGTTTATGTAAATATGTTAAATGAAGTTGTTCAGCATTAACTTTTGTGTTATTTGGTTAATTTAGATGTTTAGCTTGTACTTTTAACTGTCAATGTGTAGTGATATATATATACAAATATTATGCATAGGTTACTTTAATCGTTTAACCTCTTCCTGTTGCAAAAATTACTGTTTGTTCTTCAATCTCTCGCGTGTTCTTTTCTACGGATAACTACGCCTACCTAACCTTTTTGTACTGCATTTGAACAGTATTTCTATCAACTTCAGTTACAGTGTGCCCACATCGCGTACCTTCCAACCTTTCTTGTTATGTTTATTTTCATCTCGTTTTCACTAATTTGCAATTTTAGTTAGTCTCATGCGTAATACCCCCCTCTGCTGCCATATTTTGTCTTGATAACAAAAAGCTGCTTAACGCTACACTAAGAAGTACTGGTCTCTGAAAAGTACGTAGTGCAAAATCACCACTCGTGGTGGATCATCCAACTACACAACATGAAGCTTCTCATCACGTAGGCTTTTAGTACTTGAAGAGCTATGACTATGAAAAAGGTGTACCTTCGGAAGATGTCAAACCTGAAGACAAGACAAATGATCAGCCTGCACTTGCAAAGATATGTACTTCACCTCTACCCATATGTACAACCTTGCAAAATATCAAAGGAAGTCTAGGAGGCCTGGGTTCCAATAATAGTATTACTGTACACGATGCGTACTTTACACCAGGATTATATACAAATTTGTTATCAGTGAGTAAAATAGTATAGTACACAGAGGTCGCACGGTCATATTCAACCAGGATGGCTCTCAACAAATGCTCTTACGCTTGCATGACCAAATTTCACTTTTTTCGTTAGACTTTTGTTTGAGCTGTAGTAAATTTTTAAATACTTCTTCCATATTAAAGCGCTTGCAAAATATTTGAGGGTAACGCTTTGCCCTTGCGCATTTTTTCGAGCGTTTTTGATTATCCAAACACAAATTTGGTCCGTTAAAATTTGAGACTCTCCGAATAATCTGAATTTCGGTCTCTTCATTGCATGCGTAAATTTTGTCGACCCTAATTCAAAGTCCTAGTTGTTAATATCATCTGAATGGTTAAAAATAACAAGATTATAACGAAAGATAAATGTACCAGATCTCATGTATTCAATAAATTAGACTATTCATGTATCCCAAATTTAAACCATACTTTTATTAATTAACGGGACAGAAACATCCTGTTTTCACACACTAGGCAAACGGAGATTAAAAAAATCTATAGACGATTAAAAATCAATCAGTAATAATAGATTGAAATTGACAGCGGTGTGATTCAGAACTTGCAATCTGATGGAGCACCAAGCCATAAAGTAGCAATGTAAGACTCCCGATAACTTATGGTTTTATGTGGAGTAAGACTGTGATTAGATGGCAATTCTACCACGAAGAACCCCAAAGGCCAATGGCACAATTACAAGTAGCTTTAACTTTTGACCGAGACTATAACTAAATAGACGTTGAATAATTTACCTTCAATATAAAAAAAGTTTCGAAACTTGATTACTTCTAATACATCAGCTCAAGCATCGAACTTTTGACCGAAGCCATAAATTTCACTTTTATTTTGATACAGAAAAAAAAGGCCGAAATTTATATCTTCGTAACGAAACGCTTACATCGGGTATATTAAAAACGAGCTTGCATATAAAATGAAATCAAAAAGCTCTTCATAAAGATAAAGGATATTAATTTCTGTTTGTACAGTTAAAACGTGTGTATCTAGAAGTTTTTAATTTAAATTAATGTTCATATCTAAAATCTCAAGCACATTTCATACGTTGATTAGTACAAAATTTGACAAGCTACAAAGCGGGCTATTATTATAGTTCAATTATTTTCGCCCGGAAAATATTCGAGGTACCCTTACCGTGGAAATTGGAAATTTTATTAACAAAATAACAAGGTTTATGCAAAAGTGCGCTGTTTGTAATGCCCATTTCCCCGTTAAATAAAATGTTAATGTACCCAAACCACTAATTCACAAAATCTCGTTATTTTAATGCCAAAATGCGTGCGTTGTGAAACGCTTCAAATATACGCTAGTGCTTTTTTCAAGGGTAGTTCAATAATGGCACTCTATAGTTGCTAGGATATTTTTCCAATAACAGAATGTATCGATAGCTCATACGCTCTACGATAGCAAGGTATGTAACTACTGGGGTGTCACATAACTAAACCAGAAAATCGAGCAGATATTACAATTTATGAATTTAAAGTGAAATAGTTGAAGAACTGCTTTGAGTGTGCGGACTCTT